GAAAGAGGGATTACTCGTAGTCTACCCTGTGTGACACAACTTCTACATTGTACTTTAGCACCCATACCCAAAAAAGAACATAAATAGCTTATACATGTCGGTAGAAATGATCCATGGAAGAGAGCTGTATTATATACACATGTGCTACAAAACATTACCATCAACTGGGGAATATTTGCAAGAAAACAAGTATATATAATGTGCAACTACAAGTATATAAAAACAAATTCAGTCCTCTATCCTCAAACCTTGAATGCAGCCACACAAGTATACATATGTTTGCAACAAACTGCAAATAAAAATGTAATTCATACGTTATGCAACTTAGGTTCTTACCAACTTTCTTTTCTTCTTCAGCAAATCCAGGTTAATCTCATACTATAATGAACAGAAAACAAAACCAGCAAAAGAATACTTAATAACTAAGACACTTTGTCAGAAATTACAACTCTAACTTGAAAGTAAGGGACGCTGAGGCTATATTCATTTATTATGTTTCTAGTTTCATCATCAGTAGCATGGCAACATAGCTGCTTAATATATTCTAAAGATCTGAAGATTTTTGAAGTTATTACTGGTAGTACTTATTGTGTATGCACACTACAGTAACCTTGATACACTTTAGTTTGATTATTTTAATATTTGCATTATGTACTGCAGATAGAAGAATCTCTAGCCACTTCATGCTATGACTGTAGAAACTAAGATACATGTTAGAGCCAGTTCTAAGACTGTCATCAAAGGCCCTAACCGGTAACTCCTTATTATGGCTGAGTATACGTGATGGGCCCTTGATGTTACAGTTGAACTTGACTGTTGGTGATGCAATATTCACCACTAAAGTAACAGGGTAGTTACAGTATACATGTATGAGTATGAAGATCAAGGCAAGGGGTGACTCAAAACATAACGACAGTCCTTGGGCTGTGGACCAACTTGGCCCAGGCACAGACATGCATTTAAATCAGAGTAAATGAAATCTATTGGTTTACAGCAAAAGAAATATCAGTCAGACCACCACATAAAATGTCTATACAACATGGAATCTACATAATACCTGCATGTATCTTAGAAAATCTGTCTTCTGGACAATCCTCTTCTGCAAGCGGTATTCAAACTCTCTTCTCTTTCGAATGATAGTCCTGTATAGTGATATTATCGTAGCAAAATGGTTTACCTAAGTCCTCAGTGTTTTTATAAAGATTTAAATTTTACAGTATAGCCAGGTTGGGAATCTGTAGCTCTATCTCGTCTTATCTGCAGCATAAGATGATCATATTGTCTATGCAAGTGCTTGTTACACTGTTTAATTAAGTTGAACCATGATATATTGACTCGCTGATTTCAACCGATGAAGATGCTGATACCCAAAGGGTGACTGAAATCATGCAAGTCATACTAAAGCAGACTAAAAGACAACAACAGAAGCCTTACAATGTAATAATTATTTATAAGCTTTATAAGCTTATAAAAAGCTAATATATTAAGCTTAGTAAACAACGACACAAACTTCAAACCCTCGCTTACTTTGTCTCTACTTTTGGGAAAGACAAACTTTACTTGTATTGTAAAAACAACGCTTTCAAATTATGCAGTAATGGCGTTATTCGATTCAAATAAACATGTTAAATTCCTCACCTGATTTCATCGCTTGAAAACACTCCCATCCGCTCCAATTCCTCCAGTTCAGGCAACATGCCCTCCAGATTTTGATGAACATATTCTGCCATCGTGAAACTCTCGTGCAACAAGAAGCACAACTCTAAATTCTAGGAGTAAAGATCTGAACCAAACTTCTCACTTCGTCCACCATGTGTAATTCCTACACTTTTCTTTGAGACACCGCTGACAAGCATATGATTTTTGTTATCATCTTATATGAAGCGGTAGGCGCCGACTAGGAAAATCAAGGCACTAACTGACTGCTGGCGCATCCTTGATGGACACAGCGTGCCGCAATAATTTTGCGTTTTTTTGCGGTTTTTTCCACGTTCCGCAAATAAAAGTTCCCGCATAAATTTTCTTCAAAAACTTTTACTCCACAGTCGAACCTCCCGTAAGCGCTTACGAGAACTTAGACTATATTGGGTCAAAATTTTACCTCATTAGCTTATAGTAACTGCAGAGGCTTATTCATAAAAAAAAAAAA